TACATTATCTCAGCTGACTATTTTGTTACAACGTAAATAGAAGAAGAAGCAGATTATGATGGCGATGAAGAAGAAGAAGAAGAAAAAGAAGAAAAAGAAGAAAAAGATGAAGAAGAAAAAGAAGAACAAGAAGAAGAAGAAGAAGAAGAAGAAGAAGAAGAAGAAGAAGAAGAAAAAGAAGAAGAAGAAGAAGAAGAAGAAGAAGAAGAAGAAGAAGAAGAAGAAGAAGAAGAAGAAGAAGAAGAAGAAGAAGAAGAAGAAGGGAAAGAAGAAGAAGAAGAAAAAGAAGAACAAGAACAAGAAGAACAAGAACAACAAAGAAGAAGAAGAACAAGAAGAAGAAGAACAAGAACAAGAAGAAGAACAAGAAGAAGAACAAAAAGAAGAAGAACAAGAAAAAGAACAAGAAGAAGAAGAAGAAGTAAAAGAAATCATTAGCTAATTTACAGTCATATTCCTAATGGCATGATTTTCCTACACATATTAACAATATTAAAACCAGCATGGCTGTTTTTTTTTTCCAACAATATTTTTAACACCTGTAACAACAGCAGATTATTCAATCTAAAATCAGCCGTCACGTATTGCCAATCGACTTCAAGCCCATCAAACTTCCTCTCGTGCAGAAATCTGACGGCGTGTATGGAGAATGCTTTCCTGGTCTCGGAGTTCTGCGAAACACCCTCAAAACCTGCACTGCCTGCACTGTATCCGCCAACTGCAAGAATTACTTTCATATTTGGATTGAATATTTTCATGTGGACAACGCGATGGTACCTGGCAGAGAAAAGTAATGTGGTACAATATTTAGCATTCACAATAGGAACTTGAAGTAAAAAAAACTATTGCAGCTGTAAGCGCTTTGGATATACGGTAACTAGGCCATAATTGTTGTAAATCAGTCGTCACTAGACTTTGCTTCACCTGACATTTCAAGTACTTCATTATGGCTTAAGCCAACATGAGATCAAAGATCAAAAACATAATACTGAATAAGGTCAAATACATGATACCGACAGTGTGTGGATTCAAAATCATGTGTCTGTATATGTGTATATACGTGTGTGAATGTGTGTGTGTGTGTCTGTGTAAACACAGTTAAAATGCATGTGCTTGTCTGTCTGTGTTTATATTTCTGGGTGACAAAAACTTCTCAACGGTGATAAGCAGAGGGGATGAATTTGCAGCTGTCATTTTGGCAGCAATGTCTACGTTACCTGTACTATTTGCTACAAGGTATCAACGTATTTCTGATAATATATACCACGATAACTAAAGTTAACACCATTAAAGTTATTTTCTTTGAGTTAATACATCTGTTGTTAAGCTCGTTGAAGAATGATTCTGACAAAAATATATTTCGCTATTATCTTCTTTTAAACTGGGCGTATGTGGTTCTCATTTGGCAGTCGAAGCAGCGATAGTGTAGCGGCTAGACATGTTTTTCCTGAAGTTTGACGCTATCGCTCTCTTGGGAACGTTGGTACGGTCAAGGGCGTGGTTGCTATCACAAGCAAATTTGGGGCCTGAGGGGGGAGGGGTGGGGTAAGCGTGGGTCCCCAAAGGAGTCACATGGCAGTGAATTAATATAAGGGAAAGGAGAAGTAGAAGACGCGAAAGTGATAATTTTATCTACTTTTTTGGACGTGGCCAAGAAATGTAATCCAATAAATACAACATTTTCATGTTTTGCATACCAAAGTGGGCGATTTAAAATCACCCTAGAAGTTATAAACACTCTCCAGACTGAACTGCAAACACAGTTCATTTAAACTCCTGTGGGATTGAACAGCCCGCACAATTTTATCTCAAACCACCTAGTTAGAAAAAAAAAATGTCCACAGATAAAACTTGCTGTCACCCAAAAAAACAACAATAAATAATGAAGAAATTGAAAATGTCACAAATTTTGAATATCTAGGCTCTATAATAAACAACAATGAAGACTGTTCGACAGAAATTAAAAGGAGGATGGCCATAGCAATGCAAAGATTGAACAGCCTTAAAAGTCTATGGTTAAGCACCAGCAAGGATATCAAAATTAGAATTGTAAGAGCTTTTATCTTCCCTGTGGCTACATACGGATGTGAGTCGTGGACTATCTCTCAGTCCTTGAGAAAGAGAATAGGAGCTTTTGGACTGAAATGCTGTAGAACGATTCTCAGAATATCTTGGACAAAGAAGATTAGAAATATTGACATCTTAAAAGATCTGAACATCAAGGAAGATTGGCTAATATAAACAGCATCGTTTCTCGAAAGCTGAAATAGTTTGGTCATATCAAACGCCACGACGTATTTAAAAAAAAATTATACCAGAAGGCATGTTACCAGAAAGGAGGGGCAGGTGCCGACCGACACGAAGATGGGCACAGGATATAAGTGACTCCTTGAGTGTGAAAGTTCATGAGGCGGGAGAACTGGTGAGAGACCGAGTTTCTTTCAGGCAGACTGTGGTGAGAGCGACGTTCTGCAAAGGACCTGCTACATGATGATGATGACCAAGTTAGAACTCCTGGTACTCAACATGGGGTGTTTATTCCCCTGGCACCCTCCTCTCGGCAGTCTACTGAGAAGTCATAGACCCGGCTTCTTCGAGATCCTAGCTAAATGATTGTGTGTTTTTATGTGGTATTGTTTAATTTGTGTATGAGCTGATAAAGGCTCCATAGCCGCAACATCCAGGTTTTTTTTTATATTTTTATATCTTTTCTTGATATTTAATCAAAAATGGACGTTTCCTAGCCTCCTAGGGCATTTTTTTCAGACCTGACTCCAGATCCAGTTGTTTGAAAGCATGTATTCAAATAGACGATATATGACAGACGAAAAAGAATAACACATACAACGGAAGAATCAGTCTTGAAAGCAACGTGTAGACTTACAATCCTTCTCGCCAGTTTTCTGACTCCTCCTTCTCCGGCCTCACCGGGGAAATGACGCCATTTTTAATCCAGGCATAGGCGTAAACGACGTGAGTACAGACCATGGCATCAATATTCTCAGGCAGAAATCTCCCTTTACCCTGCCTGTATTGTCCCCAGTTATTGACATAGCATACGATGCGCTTTCCATTTAGTGCTGTGGATGTGAGTGTTTTGACAAGTATAGAGCTAATGTTTTTTGTTGTTGTGCGCTCTCTGTTGTCTAGTCCGCTTTCCGGTCACAGTTTGTGCTGTAATCAGTATGCCGTTAAAAAAAAAAGCACTGTGGTCAAAACGTTCGGTTGTGTTTGTGTGCGTCTTTTCCATTTCCTCTGTTGAGCTTTCTGATCACATATTATGTAATATTTAGCATTTCTTACAATCAGCTTGACTTCAGTTATCCCCTAATTATGTAAAGACAAGTTTGGTGTTGGTTGACCTTGTGTGACCGCGAGGCTTAAGACGCGCTAAGAAGACAAATGACATTCAGGACCTTAAAGAGAGTGTCGCTGCAGCTTTGCACCTGTTACTCTGGACACGTTTCAGAATACATGTCAGGAGATTTAATACCGTCTAGAAACCACAATATCTACCTAATGGCTCTCATATCGTAGTGACCTAGGCGCCTCTAAAACGCTAACTATTTCTGAACATTTCAAGACGCCCCAGTGTATGCCACTTACATATTTATTTAATAATAACAGTTTTAAATCCCGGCGGCCTGGGAGCTGCGTGGTCTCGAGGCATGTTGTCTGCCTTGAGTGCTAGAGGTACCGGGGATTGAACCCGGTAAGGCCTGATATTTTTTTCACGTGACTTGGACTTCTAGTAATTCCTCTGGTCTCTGGGTAGTGAGATCGGGTGCACGTAAAAAAAATCCCTTGGCAGTTGGAAATCGAAAAAAGTAACCTAACGGCGCTGAGCGGGCTAAATTTGAAGTTATAAATCTACCCAAAGTATTTCAGGATCCTCGCCGGTGCTACAGAGCCTGTGCACTGTGCTACAAAGCTAGTGCACTGTGCTCAGCTTCTTCGGATTCAGACATGAGTTAGAAGTAGAATGACCACTTATGGGTTACTATCAATGGGTTCCAACATATGATAATGTCTCACAAGTATTTTATAAACCAATTGGCACTCCGTGGATGATGTCGTAAACATTATACCAGTTGCCTTTACTTCCCAGGTCATTTCCGTGTACCCAACTAAAACTGATTCGAAAACCCAATTCGGATTTTAATTCAAGACTTTCAGGTCGACAGGCGAGCGTCTGGGGTCTACGCTACAGCAGATTCCGGCAAATGCATAGCGTCGAAGGACTAATTCCATTTGGAAACAAATGACAAAAAAAAAACAGGCAGAGAATATAAACTTATATGGTTAACCCTAATCAAGGCTCTAGATCACTCAGTCTCTCTCTCTTTCTGTGTGTGTGTGTGTGTGTGTGTGTGTGTGTGTGTGTGGTATGTGTATGTGTCTGTGTTTGCATCGCGAATACTTGAAAACGAGAACGCCGCTCAAGACACGAACAAAACAAAACAAAACAAAAAAACATTTTCAATTTATATGGCTGTTTGTGGTGCTCTTGTCTGGATTTTACCTTCAAAGACATTAGGATATACAGTTGTAAGAGAACCGGCTGGATGAGTTGGAACATCCACAAATGTGCGCTTGGCTATCCTGAGGACAACATGTATTACTTTAAGAGGGGCAGGAGAAATGAAAAAGATTATTTTCTGAATCAAGCGAGTAGACAACTGCGGAAGTCATTCAATGGTATAACACCTGCTACATTTGCTTCTCCTATTACCCATTTTAGGCTATGTTCGTTTTATTCGTTTACTTCTCTCCTTCAGCGTTCGCCCTAAGAAGGACTGTTGAAACCTGTTTGTTGCGTTTAACATTCAAATTCTCATCCTAAAACATGGCATTTCAGCATACTTTCCCCCCTGTTGGTTCCAAGGCCCTTTTCAGGAGGAGAAAAGAAAATACCTAAATGTCCACTAACAAGAATGACGTAAGTGTTCAGGGGTGTTTCCTTCGAAGTCGGAGCTCACCTGTCTCCGACATCAGATACCAGCGGTCTGCTTTTAATTAGACCAGATCTGAGAAACGGATGTTCAAGCAAAATTCAAGTTCCCTAAACTGACGGGTGTATAGAGTGGGATAAACAGACACAGCATAGCCTTAAGTTTACAGCCAGTAAATACAAATAATAATAAGAAGAAGAATAAGAAAAAGAAGAAGAAGAGGAAGAAGAAGAAGAAGAAGAAGAAGAAGAAGAAGAAGAAGAAGAAGAAGAAGAAGAAGAAGAAGAAGAAGAAGAAGAAGAAGAAGAAGAAGAAGAAGAAGAAGAAGAAGAAGAAGAAGAAGAAGAAAAATGAAAGAAGAAGAAGAAGAAGAAGAAGAAGAAGAAGAAGAAGAAGAAGAAGAAGAAGAAGAAGAAGAAGAAGAAGAAGAAGAAGAAGAAGAAGAAGAAGAAGAAGAAGAAGAAAGAAGAAAGAAGAGAAAAGAAGAAGAAGAAAGAAGAAGAAAGAAGAAGAAGAAGAAGAAGAAGAAGAAGAAGAAGAAGAAGAAGAAGAAGAAGAAGAAGAAGAAGAAGAAGAAGAAGAAAACGAAAAGAAAAGAAGAAGAAGAAGAAGAAGAAGGAGAGAAGGAAGAAGTAAGAAGAAGAGAAGGAAGACGAAGAAGAGAAGGAAGAAGAAGAAAAAGAGTAAGAAAAAAGAAGAAGATAGAATAAGCCATTAATTAGTTGTATTCTAACCATGACAAGATTCACATACAATGCGTTGAACAGATTTGCATATTAACTTCGCCATTTATTCTCTCTCCTCATCTCTATGTCACGTAGTTACCTATCTGTGGTCTTTCATCACACTGTTCGGTAATCTTTTCTTTAAGCAGATTTTAATACACTACGAGTTTGGCCTGATACAGTTTCAGGGAGTAATAGCCACCTGGATCCCATTCCACCTTTCTTTTCAGTCCCCAGTTAACATGTGGCCTCGTGGCCTCAGTCTTACTCTTGCGTATCATTTATAAACAACAATAGCCTACAGAGATTAAGGGGTCACTACACGTCATTTTTCCCAATTTATGACAAAAATATAACTTTTTCAATGTGTTCGTTTTTGTAAAGTTCGGCATTCGTACAATAGATGACAAAAAAATTTATGTCATTTGTAAACACTTTAGCATTGAAAAGTTAATACTAATGACACCACTTCGTGCACTTAAAAAAAAAAAAAGTTTAAAAGTCAGTTTTCTCAAATCTTTTTATTTCAGTTTGCTGTGTGTGTGAAATCCTAAAATCTTAGCTAATATGAAAAGTTGAATCATTAAATTTTGTATGCATACTTCATAGAGAATATTATAGGGACTGGTCTATCTAAAAGTAGATTTTAGAAAGTTTTTGTTTCTAAAATTTTATTTCTTTGACTTTTTCAATAAACCTACATTTTAAAATTCTACGAAAAATATTTAAAAACAAGTTTGAAGTAAATAAATTAGACCTGTACCTCTAAATAGGACGAAAGCTCATGGATCTATCATCTATTGTTGAATACCTATGTTTGCTTTTAAAATTTAAGGATTCTAAGTACATATTGTTTTTTTTCACATGATGGCCGCTATTGCCATGACAACTATGATTTTTTAACACTTAAAGTATACAAATGTAATAAAATGTATCCCTACAAATGGCCATTATAAAATAACTGCTTTAAGTCTGTAAATAAAAAAAAAAAATTTTTTTTGGTGTAGTGACCCCTTAATAAATAAACGACATAGAGGGCCACCTACGGAGCACACAGGGACAAGTCAGCGTTGAGGAGTGTGTTGACGGCTGTCCTAATGAGCGGAAACTTTCCTCGGCCACATCCTACTCCAGTAGAATCATCCCTTTCTAGAGTCCAGAATGTCAAACCTCCAATTCCTTTTCTTTTCATATAACACACCTGTTCGAAACGAGACTTCGGTAACATTAACAATGTATCGACTGCAAGAGAGAATTGGTTAGAAATGACCTTTATCTTTAGGTTGATCAGAAATTCGTGATGTAATTGTAGTGAAATGTGATTTGTTGAGCCAGAGGTTAAAGATCCAAATTCTAATGATTACAAAAATGGTTGGTAATATATATATATATATATATACAATATATATATATATATATATATATATATATATATATATATATATATATATATATGTGTGTGTGTGTGTGTGTGTGTGTATGTGTATATATTTCTGGATAATGTTCAATCGTAGCATGGGACGTTGATTCATTCATTATCCCTTTGTACAATTATATGTCACATAAGGATCACAGTCTAAGAACCGATTCCATTCTATCCTGCGCAGTCAGCTTCGCTCCAATGTTTCATGTGGCAGTCCGTGCCCCATTAATCCATGTATTTCCCATGTTAATGCCTGTTTGGTGATTCTGTGCTTGTTTCTTCACAGGGTGTATCCAAAAAGATCTATCTTTTCTGCCTTATAATGGTTAATACAATTGGTTGCCCAGTCATGTCTCTTATTTTTTCCCCCCACTCCTGTTGAACATCTCCCATTTTATTCTTATAATTTTCCTCAGATATTTAGTGGTTCTAAAATTCTCACTAGCGCATGTTATAATTGAAGACACATTAGAACGTATAACATACGAAACCGGTTAAACTGCAGTTTCTTACAGAACATACTTTTCTTTTTCTTACCACTAATGCACTGGGCACATACTGATATCTTGATTTTTTTTTTTTTAAAGGGGGAGGGGGGAATTCATTAACAAACAAAAGCTCCGGCTTCCAGCGTTCCTGGTCCATAGATTTATGGACCAGTCAGTATTGGATGAACGACATGATCAACATCCAATCGTTCGCTTTTACGTCCTTAAAACTAATCTCAAGTTCAGTGAGCCCGCATTTGCAGGCCATTCATTACAATGAATCTCAATCAGGATTCCAAACCAAGATATAAGTATCGTCAGACAATCGCCGACTAGGCATTGTTCTATTGCAGCTGACACAATATTCATGCCTTGCATATAAAATAAACAACAAACACATACAGGTGAATCATGAATTGTTACTTATACACTGAGGTAATATTAGACATAAACTATATGATACATAGGGTTGCTGAAAAGCAAGAATCAAAACCTTGTATCTCTCTCATCGCTAGAAATGGACATTACAAGAAAAAGCGAAGAGGAAGTAGTAGTAGTAGTAGTAGTAGTAGTAGTAGTAGTAGTAGTAGTAGTAGTAGTAGTAGTAGTAGTAGTAGTAGTAGTAGTAGTAGGTAGTAGTAGTAGTAGTAGTAGTAGTAGTAGTAGTAGTAGTAGTAGTAGAAATAGTAGTAAAAGTAGTAGTAGTAGTGGTAGTAGTAGTTAAAAAAACCACTAGCAGCAGCACAAGGAGAAGTAATAGTCGGCGTAATTGGGGTAGTAGCAATGGTAATACTAGTAGCAGTCGTAGTAGTAGTAGTAGAATAATAGGCAATCCTCCGAATTACTGGCGGTAAAGATGGCGGCCGCAAAATAATCTAACGAGCCACAGTCACGTGTCAATTGCGCTCTAGCGGTCACGAGCACATCGCGGGAAAACTAGGATTAGTGTCTGTTGACAATTTCGAGAAACGGAACAGACCGCCGAGTTAAACTCGCCGCCGAGATGCTCCCACGAGCAGCAGCTTCCGCATCTCCTGCAGCTTTACTCATGAGCCCTAGACATCTAGTTTAGCCCCAATCCTCGCCGCGTGAGCGGTAATCGCCTGAAAACCGCAAATTAAGTCGCCGGAAGTGCCCAGTTCACACGTGACTGAGGCCCTGTTTTTGGCCGCCGTCTTTTGGGCCCGTTATTGGGAGGAAAGCCGATTTGTGGATGCCACTAAAAAGAAAGCTGCGTTACCAATGCGGTACGAGCTGCGCCTGGTATCCGATCGTACTTAGCCGATACTTAGCCCAGTTTCAATGGCGTAACAGCCACAAACAGCAGATTTTCTGGCACTATTTACAACTTTTGTGCCATAATTTCTAGGAATACAATTATCAGTAAGTAGTCAATTTGATATAAAAAAATTGTTCGTTCCTTATTAGATTTGACTTCACTTTTTGAATGTGACTTTGGCTCGTCGGGATGTTTTGCGGCCATCATCTTTACCGCCCGTTATTCGGAGGATAGCTGAATAATAATATTTAAAAAGAAGAAGAACAAGAACAAGAAAAACAAGAAGAACAAGAAGAAGGAAAAGAAGAAGAAGAAGAAGAAGAAGAAGAAGAAGAAGAAGAAGAAGAAGAAGAAGAAGAAGAAGAAGAAGAAGAAGAAGAAGAAGAAGAAGAAGAAGAAGAAGAAGAAGAAGAAGAAGAAGAAGAAGAAGAAGAAGAAGAAGAAGAAGAAGAAGAAGAAGAAGAAGAAAAAGAAGAAGAAGAAGAAGAAGAAGAAGAAGAAGAAGAAGAAGAAGAAGAAGAAGAAGAAGAAGAAGAAGAAGAAGAAGAAGAAGAAGAAGAAGAAGAAGACGATGTTGATGGTGCGGATAATGATGACAAAGGGGATGGTGATGATGGAGAAAAAAAACCTAGAAATCAATGAATATATCATGAGCACCCATACTGAACAAGCCACAGCACTCACCTTCTGCATAATGCTGTATATGTCTTCATAACTGATCCACTGATCATCTTTCACAAAATAGCGCCCTTTCTGTGAGTCTACATTGTGAATCGTCCCACCACTATTACGTAGCTTGTCACACATCTGTCACATAAATTTCAAATGGACGTGATGTTATGTTACGTCATCACAATCGAACGTCACTGCGCATTTGGCAATCTCAGTTCTCTGATGCAGCATCGACCCCAAGCTACTTCTGCTCACTGTTCTCATTAAAGGTTAGTTCTAATGCCTCCTAACTCGGCATCGAAGTCGGTATAGACGTGAGTAGTAGGGCGTGCTTGATTTGAGTCTACTGGTGGCACCACTTTCCACCACTTTCTCACCACTCTCCCGCCACTCTCTCACCAGTCTCCCCACCACTCTCTCACCAGTCTCCCACCACCCTAGCACAGGTGTTAATCAGGAAGTTCAAAGGTTCAAAAATATAGGTCATATATATTTTTTTCAAGGTGGCTAATTTTTTCCTAGCTGTCAGGGGCGTTTCCCCCAGAAATAAAATCTTGTTGCAGTTTTTTTTTCTTGAGAATATTTTTTTTTTTCCTTGAGATGGTGAAAATGTTTTTTTCCAGTTGTCAGAATTTCCCCAAATTTTGTTTGTTGAAAAGATGGTTTTCTCTTTCCAAGATGTCGGCCTTGTCATCTCAGAATAAAAAGTTGCTATATATATATATATATATTGGTTTTTTTTTGTCAGGAACACCTCGGGGCATTGGGGGCACTGAAAAATCGTGTAGGTCTCTTGTAGTTCTTTCTGTCTACCCCTGTATCCCACCTGTAGTAATTACCCACCCCCTGTTAACAAACAACATTGATTTAAAAATGTAAAGCAGAAGACGTATAACAGTTTATATAATTGTTTATTGTTTAGCCTTTCAATTTTGTTTAATCAAGTTAGGACAGACAAAATAAATATTAAAATTCGAATATTTTAAACAAAACATTAGGCATAAATTAGGTAAAGAAAAAATGTGTGGGTGTTCGTTTATGTGTCCCCGCCTGTGTTCTGCTTTCCCTGTCTATAGTTGTCTTAGATAGCTGGTTGCTGATTGTGGTCTGGTGTGGCTATGATACAAGGAATAGAAGCCTCCGGTTCGATGTGGTTAATAGAAGATGTGAGTCCTAAGTGATCGCTTCTATGTTGGTTATAGGACATCTCTTATAAAACATACTTGTTTTTACCCCACAACTAAAAAAAACCGTTCAACGCTTCTGAAAAAAACAGATGTCGCGTTACTTAAAAAACTAGGAAAAATCATTAGTCGAGGGACTCAGGCAGATCAAAAAAGATTTATACGAAGCGCCCCTATACAACTTAAGAATTAGCTGGGTGTTATTGACACTTGAAACAGCTTAGACTCAAGCCATATTAGAATTTTTACAATATGTTGAACACCTGTTGTAACCTGGCAGTTTTCTGTTTCTTTATATAAAAAGCAACCGAAAGTTGTTTGTTTTTTGTGAAAAATTACTACACGCCGGTGAGCAGCCCCTTTAGAGGAAAACAGTTTTCAACGGCTTCCGATTGGTAAAGATTTAGTTTAATACTACTACTGCTGCTACTGCTGTTACTACTACTACTACTACTACTACTACTACTACTACTACTACTACTACTACTACTACTACTACTACTACTACTACTACTACTACTACTACTACTACTACTACTACTACTACTACTACTACTACTACTACTACTACCACCACTGTTGCTGCGAGTCTGACTCGTAATCCAACGTACCGCGATCAAAACCCAATGCAGGCCGCGAGGATTTTGTCGTCGTATAGGACGTCGCAGGTCGATCCAACCTCAAATGGTACCAGGATGGCTGTCCTGGGGAAGTAAAGACTATCGGCGTAATGCTGACCACATTACCCACAGAGTTCTGATTGCTCTGTAAAAATATGGGACGATCTGCCCATATGCCCGATGCGCCGAATGACGTGAAAAGGGGTCTTTACTTTTACTTTACTTTATATATACACACACACACACACACACACGCGCGCGCGCGCAAACACAGACATACACGCGTACACAGACATACATGCACACACACACAAACAGAGAAACACACGTACACACCTGTCTTTTTCTTAATCATAACAGCAAACACAACAGATGCAGACTACTACACAGACAGACAGACAGACAGACAGACACACACACACACACACAACAGCTGTTGGGTATAACATCGCCGTGGTTGATATGACAGCAGACCGTGCAAATCTCTCTCTCTCTCTCTCTCTCTCTCTCTCTCTCTCTCTCTCTTTTCTGTGGG